GAACTACCCTGTGCATTTCTGCGTGGAACTCTTGACAGGATGGAACTACCCTGTGCATTTCTGCGTGGAACTCTTGACAGGGTCGAAGGCCTCTTCTTCCTCCCGTGGAGCCAGTGCGCCACCAGGGCGCCTTCTATGGTCCTCAACAAAACAGCCCGGGAGACCCTTGTGAACTAAATTGGATCGTGCTCTTCCTCTGCCATTGAGCCCCCGTCATTGCTTCCATCTCCCGTAAACACCGGGTCTTCTCCGTGGCCTGCAAGGCCCTGCACCATCTGACCCCATTTGTCCGGGCTTTCTCTCCCCTCGCCGTTCTGCTTTCTCACCAGCTTCCACGCTGCAACTTCTATTTGCAGACAAATCCCACCTGATGGCTTTAGCAGGGCTGCTACCTGTCTGGGAGCCGTGGGGGCGTAATAGTTACACAGTGAGCTGCTAACCCCAAAGTCAGCCCTTCGAAGCCAGCAACCACTCCAAGGGAGCAAGACACAACGCTGTCTACTTCCCTCAAGAGTTACATCTTCTCCAGATGGATTGACACAGTGGCTGCAAAAATGGGCTCCAACATAAGAACAATGGTGAGGCTGGCGCCGGCCCGGGCAGTGTTTTGCTCTGTGGTGCACGGGGTCACCATGAGTCAGTGGTGACGCAGTGGCATCTTAAGAACAGAGACTTACGGTCTTGGAGACCCACAGCGGAAGCTCTCCCAACATGGTCCCAGGAGTGGGAATCTAGTGGATGGCAATGGGTCACCTCTGTCTGGGGGGCAGGTGTCTGAGTTGCTCACCCCTTCACCAGCTTCAAGTCTTTCCTTTAACCCTCACCTTCACAATAACCTCTCTGCTGTCTTTGGCCCTGGCGCTGCTCACCCTGCTCTGCTATTTTTCCCACAATTCTGATCACCTTCCAGCATACTGCACACACTGATCTCCTCTGTGTATTTGTCTTGTCTCTCTCTCCTCCTACAGTGAAAGTGCTCCGGGGGCAGCGGTCCTCCTCTGTTTTGTGCCTTAGCATATCCAAAATCCCTAGACCAGTACCGGCCACTTGGAAGGAAGGGGATACATCTGGATGAGATGAGTAGACTGAAAGAGGCAGGAGGCACTGCCTGGTATAAAAGAGGAAATTGAAAGGTATACTAGTTTTCTTTTGCTGCCTAACAAAGGATCATCATCATAGCAGCTTAAAACAACACCCATGGATTATCCCCGCACCTAGTTCTGGTGGTCAGAACCCTGGCACTGCATGACTGGGTGCTGTGTTGGCATAAGGTTGGAATCAAGAGGTGTGCAAAGACCCACATCTAAGCTCCCATGTGTTCTGGGCAAGACTCAGTTCCTTGTGGCTGCAGGACTGAGGTCTCCGCTTTGGAGCTGGCTGTTGACTGGGGGCTCTCCGACCCTGCTCTCAGGTCCCACGTCACATGCCCATCTCCACCAGCTGTTCACAACGTGCCAGTTTTCCCATCAAGAGCAGGAGGATAATTTCTCATGCTTCAAGTATCTCCCTTCAGAAAACGCTGTTTAAGTGCTCCCCTAATTAGGTGGGGTCCACCCAAGCCAATCTCCCTTTGGATCAACTGACTTGAGACCTTAAACATATCTGCAAAGTCCCTTCATTATATAATGCCATGAAATCATAGGACCGCAGTCCATCACATTCACAGCTTTGTCCACTCCCTCGGGGAGGGGATTATACAGAGGATGTTCAGCAGTGGGCAGGCATCCTAGGGGTCATCGCAGCCAACCACAGATGGATAAGCCTGAAGTCAGGTTCCTCCATGGACCAGGCAGGAAAACAGGTAAAAACCGCAGGAGTCAGTATTCGTAGGATCAGGATTTCTAGGTAACAAGGTATTTTAAAAAGGTCTTTGCCAATGAAACATCTATAATTATTTTTTAGTCCATGTAACAGACAGGCCTAGGGAACTATATTGTGACAAGCTGTGGTGGATGTGGAAGGAAACATTAATGTAACAGGCTGAACAATGACGCATGAGTTAAAACTACTGTTACTAAGGAATTATGGTTATTCCAGAAATCATCACAAAAGCAGTGATCCATCCTGCTTTTTCCATTCCAACGGAAAGCATCACTCACCTGCCCTAGGTCCAAGGTGACATTCACTCTGTTGTACTGTGCGCCCGAGGACAGAGGGGGACTTTGCCACCAGCGTTCGCTTCCATCGATCGCATTGGTGATCGGGTGTGCTTTCCGGGGGTCTTCAGAATTGCAATAGTCACAGAACTGGCCCTGGAGGGGAGAAAGGGAGGTTTTCCTTTCATTTGCAAGTAATTAAAGTCAAAGAGGTGATCAAAACAGACTGTTTCAGACTGCTTAGAGTGCAGCTGTTACAATGAATCAGAGGATATTCTGAAAAGCTGAAACCATACCACTGGTGGATACTCTTGTTCATTGTGTCTCTAGGATACAGATTTGATTTATCTTTCATTTTACAGCTACTGTTTCCTTGTCCAATAGAACCCTTGAAGATAATCCTATTGTACTTGGGAAGCAACGATCTTTTCTAGTTGACAAATGCTTTCTCACGCTTTCCTTCTGCTCTGGGCAACTCTGGGTCCGACATTAGGGCACAAAGGGGATTCCGGCCCATGTGGGAATGGAGATCTGAAGTACACAAATGCCATAAGGGAAGGGTGGGAAGGGCAGCTCCCTGATCGAGTGAAGAATGCTGGGCCTCAGGGCAGGAGAGGCTCCAAGGAGCTCAGGAAGGCAGAGAGGAAGAGACGGGACTCCAGCTGGCCTGGGAAGGATGGCTAGGACTTTGATACATGGCTTTAAAAAAAAAAAAGTGAAATGATCTATTTATTTCTACATGTTTCAATAATAAGAAAGAGGGGGAAAAATACACCTTGACTGGAAAAAGTTTCTAGAAATAACTTATCAAACCCGTAATGCCAGAGATAATGGCTTTTCTAGATTAACTGCATCAGCAAAGTTTAGTGGTTCTCAACCTTCCTAATGCTGCGACCCTTTCATACGGTTCCTCATGTGTGGCTTTATAAGTTCTAACAAAAAATTCCACATGTTTAAAGTTACATACTACCAAGAAAAAGTGTAATATATACTTTTCTTTGAAAAAAGAAATTAAAATTAACTTTTAAAAATAAGTTTAGTTTTAAAAATTAATAAGTAGAGAGTCTGATGTTTTTTCTTTTGGTTTTAATAAACAGAAATTTATTTGCCCAGGTTTACGTGGCTAGAAGTCCAAATTCAGGGCGCTTGGCACATTAGTAATCTTCCTGTGGGTTAACATCTATCTGTTTTACAGCTCTGGCTCCTTGCTTAATCTTTCTATTTTAAAAAAGACGGACTCAAAACATGCTTTACATTAATCCTGTCTCATAAAAAAACAACAAAGAAAACCCATTCCCAAATGGGATTACTACAACAGGTATAGGGGTTAGAATTCATGACACAATTTTTGGAAGACACAAGTCAATGTATAACAATTTACACAAAGTGGGGAAGCAAAATATGGACGTTTATATGTGCGGTAAATAGAGCTAAAGTAATTTTATAGTTGCTCTGGATCTCACTGAGTAGTTTTTTTAAAAATAATTTAATGGGCACACTTACAGCTCTTATCGCAATCCATACATGCTTGTACACCTCTTATCACAATCCATACATCCATCCATTGTGTCAACCACGTTTGTCCATATGTTGCCATCATCATTTTCAAAACAAAAAGTCTGATTTCTTAGTTATTTTTAAATGGTCAGTGTGGGAACCTTTTTCTTCAGAATTATTAAAATATTTCTTCTCTTTAATTTTGTTTCATCTTGAAATTCTGGCAGTTTCGCTCTACCTCACAATGTAATGTTCACTGCAAATCAGCGTAGGTGAAGAATCCATATGGAAAATAGTAAAATCCAGTCCCTACTCAAACCACGTACAAAATCAACTCCCCATGAATTTAGGACTTAAATTGCTCGAATAAAAATATTAAACCTCTTAGTGGACACCTGTGGCACAGAGGATGACATAATGGTCCGCTAGTGGCAAGGTCAATCTTTCAAGGCCCGCCGCTGCTCTGAGGCTGTCAGAGCTCTCGGAAGCCCGAGGGAGCAGCTCTGCCCTGTCCCGTGGGGTCACTAGCAGTTGAATTGCCTTGATGGCAGTGGGTTTGAGGTTAGTGGAAAATAAAGATAAGCACCTTTCAGACCTCAGAGCAAGAAAACGTTAAACAAGATGCAGAGCGCATCGACTATAAATGATGTGTGTCTGTGGTAGTTAATTTCATGTCAACGTGAAAAGATAAAAATGTGTAGGGGTAGAGTGTAGCCTGTCCATCGGGTCACAGTCTGATGACTTCACTTGGAAGTGCGACCGAGATATAGCGCTCTCTGGAGGTCTACCTCTCTTTCTCTCTCACGCTCTCTAACGTCACCATCCTGCTTGCTGGCCACCCAGAGAAACACTGGAGCCTGGCACTGCTTTCACCACCATTGGATCCACAGGACTTTACACCCTCTGGCCTGTGATCTTTCTGCATTCTGCATCATATCTTGTGGCTGCATGAGTCTGAAGAGGGACTCATGGACTAGTATCGTACTTATGGACTTGAGTTGGACTGGGCTGGGATTGTTTTTTTTTTTAATCATTTTATTAGGGACTCTTACAAATCTTATAACAATCCATCATTCAATTGTATTAAGCACACTTGTACATGCGTTGCCATCAACATTTCCAAAACATTTTCTTTCTACTTGAGTCCTTGGTATCAGCTCCTCTTTTTTTCCCCTCCCTCCCCACCCTCCCACTATTACTTCTTGATATAAAGCTCTTCCTTACACATATATGAGTATCACTGGCTGTGTTTCTCTAGTCAACCCAACCTAACACAATGCCAATTATTAATCCAAGTAAAAGGTAGTCCTTGACAACTTCTAGTTTTTCTTCATGTATCATGTGGTTTATTCATCCGGTTGTGAGGAATTTCACTTTCTTTACAGTCGTGTATCATCCATACTGAAGGCTACGGTCTGTTACCTTAGTAACAAGTGATCCTAATTTTCGGGACTCGGGACTCGGGACAAGGGTTTTGTGAATTCCCTGTCTGCCACTTTCTACTTAGTGATCTGGATGGCAGGTTGCACTGCCCACAGTAATTCTCTGTCTAACCTGAAAGAGCACAGCCCAGACGGACTGCTCCACACAAAACACTGCATGGCACCAGGGGTGGGGCATCACCTGCCTAGCACACAGGATTTTTTCCATAGGACTTTGGAGAGACGTAAAATGAGGGGCCTATGGTTGGTCCTGGGATTTTCGAGCCACAAGCAGATAAGCAACTGTCTACTTCTCTTTCGCTCTCATGCTCTCTGATGTCACCGTCCTGCTTGCTGGCCACCCAGAGAAACACTGGAGCCTGGCACTGCTTTCACCACCATTGGATCCACAGGACTTTACACCCTCTGGCCTGTGGTCTGAAGGAGTGAGAGCCCCAACGAGCTGGGTGGACACAGTGGCTGCACCCGTGGCTCCAACATAACAACTGGGAAGATGGCGCAAGGGTGAGTGGGGTTTCACTCTGTGAGGCAAAGAGTTGCTATGAGTTTGAACCAAGTCACTAGCACCCAACCACAAAGACACACACAGATGTGTCACCAGACTTAGTTCTCTGACTAGATGCATATATTCAGCTGCATGTATTTGTAAAGCTGTAACAGAAATCAAGATTCCCAATCAAAGACTAGAACACAGTGAACATGACAGCTTCCCAGAGACAGCACGCGTCTCGTGCCTCTCGTATGGAAAGCAGTCGTGCTTCCAGGCATACGTATGGTGCATATATAAGTGGGTTTCAGCAAATTCATGGAAAAATGGAAATAAAAGATAACAGAATTTTTCATGAACTTGCTGAAGCCTCCTGTGTAACCTGTAATATGTATATGGCTTGATAGCCATAATAAATGCCTATCTGATTGGCTTATATACTTGCTGTACTTTAGTTTCCAGCTAAAATATCTAACATATAATAGGGTTTGCTTCAACATAAAGGAGGCAATATTCAAGCTTGTGTTTCAGGTGTCTTTTGAATCCTGTTGTGTTATTCTCGACTTAATTTTCAAACAAAGAAAAAATTCTCCATGATGTTAAAGGATTGACTATACTGAAAGCTATAAACTAATGAAAAATGGAGAAGGGCCTATCTAAGATATGGAGAAATTGTTAATGACGTGGATTGAGGACCAAACACAAAAGCAAATTTCTCTCAGCACAGTGACAATGCTAAGGAATGAAGCTTCCTGGAGAGGGTTAAAAAAATAAAGCAAGACCAGACTACAATATGGTGCGGGCACAACGTCCAAACCGCATAACATCCTATTTCACAGAACATATCATGGAAGCTAAGTGATGTATGAATTATTATACAAAGGGTAAGTGAAAAACCATAGAAACCTTCATGAAACAAAAATATGGAAATATGAAACTATTATTTCTTTACATTGCCTCTATTTAGGACTACACAATTCTGAAGGTAGTGTTTCATCTCTCTAACTCTTCCCCATAGAATTCTGCGCTCTTCAGTTTATACCCTCAAAACGGCAACTTGAGGGACCCAACTCATGTGTTCCTTTTCAATCTTCTTTTTTTTTTCCTTTTCAATCTGAGTTTGGGAAACAAAAAAAAAATCTGAACGGTCAAGATGAGGGCTGTAGGGTACATGAGGTAAGAAATTCTCATGGGACAGCCACTGCTAACCTCAAAGGATGAGCAGGTGCCTTGTTGTAATGGTGGAAAAAAATCCCTCGGGGCAATTCTCATGGCCTTTTTCTCATCAATGCAGTTTTTCATTTTCATAAAACTTCTTCCTAGTAAGTCCTCATGATTGTTCTGTATCCTTTTTTTAAAAAATCTATCAATCAAGACTTCATCTTCAGAATCTCAAAAACAAGTGTTTCTGTCTTCTAAGCTGACCTCTGCCTCTGTTCTGATTGGACCTCGGTCTCTGGACTGCAGCAGTAAATCCAAGATTCGCACCCGGTTAGAATTCTTTCCACAAACCGTCTCCATTGGCTTTGAGCTTGCTTACACGATTGATGGAAAGATCAGCACTCTTTGACTTAATCTATCTTCACACAACACCTTTTGGCATTCACCAAACGGAACGTTTTCTGAGGACGATATATTTGCTTGACGTTTAGAATGCTGAACCACGGAAGATCGTGCTAGCTATCCTATCAGTGGTGAGTCTATTATCTTCATCCACCAGTGTGTGGACTTTGGCCACAGTTTCTTCACTGTTGAATTTGGTGGTCTCTTGGCTCATCTTTGAGGTCCTCCCAAGCTTCCTTACAACACTTGATTCATTTTTTTTGAAAAACTGTTGTTTTATGTAGGGAAGCATTCCTGTAAACTGGTTATAAAGCTTCAATGATTTGGGAAAATGTCTACATGACATTTTTAAAAATTCTATATTAGCCCTGATCTCAGAATTGCTTTTTTCCACGGCACAAAAAGTAATCCCCGCTTTTTTTAAGTCACTCTAATGAGACTAAGCCCCGTGTATTACAGATGACCGTATCTGCAGCCAGCCCTGATTGCAGAGACAGGTTTAAACACATAGGCTTGGGAATAGGTCTGTGCATGTAGGGACTGGAACGCTAGAGGGAATATTTTTTGACTCAACTTCTTATTACATGTAATTCCAATCCTGTGCTGATCCAGACCACAGTCTGTCGGTTTTCTTTTTTATTAATTTGGAAGGGGCACATTATGGAGTAGAAGAGATGGATTTTCAAATCCTGATTCTACCACTTACAGCTATGGAACTTGAGTTGAATTCTTTCACTTCCCTCGGGCTCTTTTTCCTTCTTGTCAAAAGGGAGTGATAATGCCTGCTCGGGTGCAGTTGTGACGGAGATGTCACCCACTTTGTCTAGTGTGATGTGGCCGCACCTGCGTGAGAACCACTGACGGATGTGTCAAAAATGAACTCTTTGGCCCTGCCCTAGTCCTGCACAATCGGTGGCAGTCAAGGACCTGCATTTTGCAGCAGAAACCCAGGTGATTCTTCTATGCACTGCCCAGAAGCTACCAGGACCAAAACCTGTCCAATACTGGATGCACGACCACCACGACAGATCAGCACTGCACCTTGCACCTCACATGCACCCACTCATCATTTCCAGGCTACACCCCCTGGGAGGGACAGCCATCAGACCATTTTACAGGTGGGGAGATGGAGGCACAAAGAAGCTGGGCAATTTGTCTAAGGCTGTAAACTGCATAACCCGTGGAGACAAGCTAGGAATCCAGGAAAAGACTGACCCAGGGCATTGGGGGACAAGGCATGGGGAGGGAGTAGGGGAGAAAAATCAAAGTCTAATATTAGCAAAAGTGCACTGGAATCTGCAGGGACCACAGAGGTTTGGACTTGGCCAAAAAACCTGTGTTCTCTGACAGGTGCTGCCAGGCTGTGGGAAAGGGACCATCCGTTTTTGGAAGATACTTCCTGGCTGGCTCCATCCGCAGAAAAGTGAGCGCTCTGCTCTTTCCATTTAGATATCATGCTCCACTACCTCATTCCTCCTCTCTCCAACATTGTGATTTCACCAAGTCTCCTCTCCTCAAATGTCCTCCACTGCTTCACCTGATGGCTTTGCTTAACTTGCCCATTTTGCTAGTCCACACACTCCCATGCATCTGTGCCCATAGGCTTCCTCTTCCCTCCCATTGCAACGGAGAATCTGTCTGTGCTCTAACGCACACACACACACACACACACACACAAGCCCATCCCTCCTGCCTACTCAAAGACTTTGCAGCTGCAATTAAACTCACCCCCACAAACTCCTGCCTGACTGGATCGTTCTCATCAGAATACCAACAAACATATTTAAAACCAAAACCCCACACACACACACACCACACACAGGAACTCTTGTTTTTCCATTGCTCCAAGGGTGTTCCCACCTCAGGGTGCTTGCACTTGCTGCCCCCTCTCCCTGGGAGATGCATCTCCCAGACCTCATCCAAGTGACTTTCCCAAGAGCTTTCTTAGCAACTCTATCTAAAGTAGTGCTGGCCTCTCCCATCTCTTGCTTCCCCTTTACCCTGTTTCTTCTTGGCAGTTAACTTAATTACTTTTTATTGTCTCTCATCTTTATTGGATTATAAATGGATTCAATTTCTTGAGGTCAGGAACTTTGTCACCACTATATACTTAGAACAGCACGTGGCATAAGCTAGGCACTTAATATTTGTTGACTGAATTTATGAATTAAAATAGCACAAACTGTGTAATTGGTTACTCCAAAAACTACACTAGAGAACATCAAGTCAAAAGGTAATCGACAATCTGGTGGTAATTTTTAACCCTTGAAAGAAGAAGTGGTTCCATAAAGAGTTATAGTCTCTGAAACTTCCAGAGGCAGTTCCACTCTT